ATACACATATACGCATGCCAAAAGGAACACAGCGCGTGGAAAGAATAATGCCAACCATCAAGAATGAAAAGTATTGTGCCATTGATGATCGCCGATATTGTTACCGCATAAGGAAAAAATCTTTGCATTCAAGTTAACTCATCTTCTACGCTATTAAATGTATCGACATTTCCAGAAAAGGGCAAGAGGGAAAGGGGAGCTTCCCTAGTTCTTTTGAGTTCTGAAATGGATGAAACGAAAGGATCTACAAATCCGGAGATTTTAGTCATCCGAAAAAAAAAAAAAAAAAAAAATATGCAGAGGTTGTGGCTTTGTGAAGCTTGAAACAAAGAATCCGTATCTTGTATTTGTTTTTTGCATTTTTTTTTTTTTTTTTTAGTCATAAAATGTTACAATATTCTAGGATTCTATTGGTAAACGGAGCTCAAAATAAGACAAAGGCAAACCGATAGTAGCGTCGTCGTGTATCGACGTCTTAACGTATCCAAATTATTTTGATGTCACGCCCCAACAAATACGAAAATTCAATGGAGACATTTTTGCAAGTGTTTTCGGAAAGAAAAAAATTCTTAGAAGTTTTTATTATTCTTGTGTTTTCGTTTGTTTGTTTTCGTTTACGAACATCTCGTAATTATTAAAATAGTAATTGAATTTTTAGAGTAGCCACAGTGTGGTCTATAACAAATTTTTAATGAATTTCTTGAGTTCGTTGATTATATTATGCTAAGTAAATTTTAAGCTAACGAAAGATCAATTTCGTCATAAATCTAATTATTTAAAAAATTTTTGCCTATGAATTTTTTTCTTATAGGAATTTTTTTTTTTCTTAAAAATTTTGTTTTGTATTTTTTTGATGATAAAAGCCAGAGCGCGAAAATCTAAGGAAAAAAACCGAATCTATGTTCTGTACAAAAAATGCGTTTTATATTACAATTGCAAGAAAGAAAGAAAAACTGGAAAAATTAAGGAAAATGAGGAGGAAAAAAGAAAAAAAAAATAATGTTCTTCATTCTTTTATCGGATGTCTTGAAGTATTTACAAGGCAGTTCCGATTTTTGATGTTAATTTCTTGTATTTTTCTTTTAATTTCAATCCACCAAACTTCTGTTTCCTCGCACTCTTGGTGCTACGACGGAATACACCACTTTGAAACTGGGAAATTCCGCCTGGACTTGAAGGGTTAGAAAGATCGGATTCTTCCTGACTTTCACTTTCACTAGACATTCGCAATTCAACGTTCCCCGCTTCCACTAGGAACTGCGAGAAACATGAACCTTGCATTAACTCGAATACGTGGTTGTTGACTACCTCAAGTATTGAAGGGTCATAGTTGTTGTAAGAGAACACATTCGTCAATAGATCTTCGCGCACCGATGAGTCAATGTTAATTTCTTTGGGTGAGTTGGGTAAAATGAAAGTTGTGATTATCTCGTGTAATTTTTGCTTTATGAATTCACTGTGAGCTGGTGCATCACCGCGCAAGATGGCGTCGTCGTATAAAGAATCGCTGGACAGTAACATATCCGGCTCTGAGAGAAGGGAAGGGAGGGAGGCATTCGGGTTATAGAAGTTATAAGCGTAATATTTGTATCTACGAGAGGCCAGCCAAAATTCTAGGTTTTCTAGACAGTAGGTTTGATCCAAGAACGCAGCAAAGTCGTCTAGAGAATATGGATAAGATGTTTCGTTATTGAGAACGTCGATGAGAGTGGGTTTCGTGGACATTGTAATGTTATTTGTTATCACTGAGTTGAAGATGTATTTCTTTTGAAAAAAAAAAGCTGTTGCTGTTAAAATTATTATTACTGTTGCTGTTGTATGTATGTATGTGTGTTGTGTGTGTATGTTGTTTTTAATACGAGTGTATGCCAGAAAATTTTCTGTGATGAGAAAAAAAACGAAAAATATTTTTTTTTTTCGACTGAAGGAAAGAGAAGGGAACTCAGGCTTATTTATATACTTGTTTGATCGATAAGGCCGATATCGGCTGATTCTGAGACTAAAATAAAAAATATGTTATGATAAACAAATGCCTGATTTTGTATTCCTATATAAATTTATGAAGTGCTACTTTAGACAATCAGTTACAGTTGCGTCAGTTAACTGAAATGAATAAATATAAGTGTGAGTAGTTTAAAAGAAAATATATCATCATTTATGAAATCACAAATTTGATTTTACGACGTACACAAATATGCAAATATGTATGATTAGTAAAGTAAAAAAAAAAAAGAGAATGAAAGGTACTTTAAAAAAAACCTGCACCGAACTGATTATACATTTGATTGACTCACGGCATAATAAAGTTTTTTTTTTATTGCACCAATATGTCACCAAGGAATGAAAAATTAAAATAGCTTGGTGACGCTTGAAAATATCTATAGAAATTATTAGAATAAAGAAGTGAGGTGATGCAAGGTTACAACAAAGGAACAAACAGCAAAAGAACCCTTTCTCCTTCACAATTTAAACAAAGAACGTCGGGAGATATATCTCCCATTGTAAGGGTGACACCGCCAATCGCTGTTCATCACTTACTACCACGATACACGGCTACTAGTTGGCCACGCACCCTTACGTTATCGTTCTCTTGGGAAGTCTAGGCTTTCTCGGTAAGCAAAGCCCAGACTAGTCAAAGGGAAAAAAAATCCATGACGTGTAACGACAAGCGGTGAGTGAGAATCCTTCACTCCATTCCAATGAGGCTTCGAAAGAAGAGGGATAATCCTTATTTTTAGGGTCACACAGGTGTTACACGGAACATATTTTTTATAGTGGACAAATGAGTTGCGGGAGATCCAACATATTTCCCCACCCAAGCCATCTACGCAAATATTTACTTTGCACGACAATCGACGAACCCACGAGTGATAAATAATTGAATTCAATGTTTTTTTTCTACAATTGTTCACTTCGGTCCCTGTAAAATTTACTACCGATATTTATTTCACTATTATTACACATTCGTGCCATGTAGAAATTCTCTCTCCCTCACACTCACATATATAAACATTACAATACAGTACAACACAACATGCCGTCTATGAATGAGCCTCAAACAATGTAGTGACCAATCATCGATGCGAAAAATTTTTTTTTAGACAAAGGGAAACGGTGAAAGACATTGTTTTTCGTCGTGTGTGTAACCCGCTAATATACTAAATCTAGTGTTTTATCTCCTTCTATAAACCGAAACTGAAATCATGATATACTGCAATATACAGTTTATATTTATTATACAGTTTATATATTACAACAAGATTTCATGTGTTTGAACATCGTGGCGGTGTGGTTGGTGTGTGGGGTGATGCAATGATCGTACCAGATGGTGGTAAACGGTAAATGGCGATTGGTCATGGATGAGAAATGCATTTGTTTAGCCTTCTTCCACGTTGTCATATTGTGTTTTCCATTGTCTTCCAGGCAAAGTGCAGCGGCATTCAAGTCAGATACGCAGAAATGGAGAAATGGCCTGCTTCTTTTCTTTGGCCTTTGCGGAGGCAAGAGTAATCATAAAAAAAATATTTTTTTTTCAATTCCCGACCAGCTGCACAATCTGCACAGCCCACGTTTTTCACAAATTTCCATATTTGAACTACAAATAAATTCATAGCGTCAACGGCTGTGGCAGTCAAAGGATTTATTCGTTTCATGGACCGCAGTGTCGACCTGATGCTTGGCACCAAGATTTCTGGGATCATCACATGTTACGTGAAAAGATTTAATTAACGAAAGTGGATGCCCCGCGATGAGGTTATCCCGTGCCTCAATAACACCAATGGCATTTCACTACTACACAGCCGATGATGCAAAAATTACATCTTAAATCTCCCTAATCTTCCTTGCCATTTGTACTCCTCTTTTGAATTTCAAGGTACTCCCTCACGAGAAATTTCCCGAATGACCTCACAATTACCTCTTAATGTCGCGTTTAATTAATGAAAATAACAATAAATAAAATGAAATTATGAAATTACGAGATTAAACATTGAAGCCCTCGGATCATTACGTACGTACAATCTGGAGAATCATTCGGTAGATTATTAAACGATACCCCGAAACACAAGATTCCTATTGTTCTGAAATGATGCACATCAAATGTGCCCACAAGCTAAAAAAAGCTGAAACACTTTAATACACTCTGTGCAAACAAATGGTAAATCTTTTTTTTTTTTTTCACTGGTGACACGAACAACAGCAAACAAAACCTCGTGTATGGATGTGGCGCGTACATGGAACGTGGCTCGTGTCTGTAACGTGGCTCGTATCTGTAACGTGGTTTGTGTCTGGAACGTGGCTCGTGTGACTGTGGGTCACCACCTGACGTCGAGAAGGTTCGACGACTTGTCAGTACCAAAGAGCCAGTTCGACACTTGATAAACGAGTGAGATAGTCCTTAATTAAATAAATCCGGATATTCCTGAACTTTAACGCCCGGTTCAGGTTGATTCCCTTGCGTTTGACTCAATTTTTCATGAATGACCAAGCCCCTCAAGTCGTTCATGATTATTTCGTCATTCGGTTTCGTGAGAAAAGGTTTATTCACACGCACGGGCACAGACATTCGACGGGAAAAAAATGTTATCGGATAAGAATCGCAACCTGGATATTCCTTATCACCATACCCTGTGACTGGTCATTTCGCGCTTTCTTTTTGGCTGTCATACCGTTTACACATCTCGCTATCATCGATTACCTGTTTGCTTGTTGTCCCCCCGCTTCCGGAACGAATGCGTGATGATGTTGATGAGAAAAAAAAAAGTTGGGAAACCCAAATTTCTTTTTGGGAAAAATTTCTCTCACTTTTTTGCACACGCATAAACTTAATGCAACAGGTCAATCAAGAGCCTTATCGTAACGTCAGGTGAGCATGAGAAAAAAAAAAATAGAGCGGGTATACACATTATCTTTTTTTTTTTCTTTCCCTCTTCATCTTCCATTATCTTCCTTCTGAATGAATCCACCTGCAGCGAACAAACAATAACGCAAGAGGATAATAAGTGAAAAATTCAGAGACGACTAGACGCAAGGTTTTTTTTTTTCTCTCCATTATTCGGTAACACAACGAGGGAAAAAAAAGCTGCAAGGCGTGTGTGCGGACATAAATTCCCCACACTTGTTAATAAACGGTTAGTTTCAAAACTGGATGGCATTCATTAGCGAGGCCACCTGACCGAACCTTTAAATTGGCAGTAGATTATTTAAGAAAAAAAAAGGTAACACTTAATTCCTGAAAGAGAGAAAATGGCAAGTTGTGATTAATATCAGGTATCGATACTTGCTTGTTAATGGTTTTACATAAGTTTAAGGCGAATGCCATGAGACAATCACACTCATCTCTTGATGCGGTCATTATAATAATGATAATAATGATAATGATAATGTGATAGTAATAATGAGATACAGTACAGTAAATGAGAACAGGTACTCGACTCGTTGTTTGGTAAACATTTAGATGTTGGACAGGTGGTACGGTGATACATGACAGCTGATATGGATTATTACAAGATGCCGCCGGTAGCTCCGAGAAAAACCACTCTGCTTGCTTACGCGAGCGTGGCCTGAGCTTCCTTTGAATTCACCTTTTTTCCAGGCTCATTGTTAAAAGGTGGGCGACAAATTCCCTGCATTCGCCGCATACCTATTGTTCTTAATAATTTTCAGGTATATTGCGTAAATCATGGCGTAAATCTCAACGCGCGTAAAAAGTGTGCATCGCGCACGCTTAGCTGAACTCACCACCACCCATAGTTACCGTCATCGAGTTCTCTGGCAATCGAGATGTTTTTCTTGTTTATTTATCACCGGTAAGAAATTTGACCAAAAGTGATTTAGGGTAGGACGAGGCGTGATTAAGCAATCCTGTGAATCAGCCCACCGTCAATGATATTCTAGCATGCATTTCTGTCGAACGCTGGTGGAATTCCTTAAATTTCACTTTTTTGGAAGCAGATAGTCCTAACATTCACACCTCCGGATTTATTTCGAACGCATGTATGGTTTCTTTTCATGCAACATCCTGCAAGCCATTGAAATGCGCATACATTCTTTTTTCTTTTTCTTATTATATCGAGAGAAATCAACATCATGTAATACATAGTAGACTCTCGACTCTTTACAATCTTTCGTTCCCCAGACAACAACAACGACGTCAAGGTGATCTCTTGGACGTTTGTTTCATCGCCTACGTCTTTCACTCCGGAGGACTGCAAACCTTGTTAAAGGCCTCACTCATTCTCAGAATGTGAAACGAGTATTCCTTCCAGATTCCATAGGTTCCTTTGAACGATGGGTTCTATTGAGCATCACCAATTAGGCCTAGACCATTACTAATGTGTAGACAAGCACAAAGCACTTCTCGGGTCAAGATCATCTCTCTGATCAGGGCTCCATGCGATATCAGATATAGATCGACAAGGGTCTGTCTCCAAATGCGAGAGATCAATGTCTTGTAAGCGCATACGTGTTTGTTCGTATTACTTAATTGCCGATCGATGCAAGGTTTAAAAATTCACGGTGCTAAAAAGCACAACGAAAATAATAATGATACCTTTTCGGTCATTTGGAAACAATCGAGAATTTCGTCAGAATTACGTTGTTGACCAACCAACCAACCAACCAATTAATTAATTAATTAATTAATTAATTGATTGATTGATATTTAATGAAATGAAGTTACACCAATGGATATTGAAAGAGAAGGTGAAGCAATCGAAACAAGGTGAATGAAAGAGAAGGTGAAGCAATCGAAACAAGGCGAATGAAAGAGCAAAAGCGATCGAAACAAGGTGAATGAAAAGGCAAAGCAATCGAAACAAGGATTGCCAAGTTCTACAAGCAGTGAGCCTTCAAATTTCCTCGATCTTGTGGGAGAGATGTTTTCACAATAAAGATGTGATATCTTGGTTGTGTGGTTTCAATTGCAAGCGTGTCACCAACAAACCGAATCATCCGACATTTGATGACCTTCCGGAAAAGTCGACAAACCTGTTTCTCCACCAAACTATTTCCTTTATTATACTCAATTTATTTTCCGTGAGATGTCCATCGTGCAAGTACCTGGTATCTCTGCTGCGTGTAAAGTTCACGGGACCTGGATGCAAAGGGAACGGCGCATCTTTTTTTTACGCCTTGTTTACCAATAAACATACAGTATACTGTTTATATGGTGACCTGAAAATGTATGCTCATGCGGTGAACACAGATGATCCACCAGAGAATGAATGACATTGTGCATTTTTACCTTGTTCGGTGGTGGCGGTGTACCGAACGCGTTGATTACCGCGAGATCTTATCGAATTATTAAAAAAAAAAAAAATTATCACGGATTTTTCTTTAACCAACGGATGTTGAACAATTGACCAACACGAAAAAAAAACGTGAAAAATCCGAGAAAGATATCGCGTGCCAAGCCTGTGTTATCCGATGGCTTAATCACCTTGATGCACATCCCGCACATCTCGATCGATGATTCGCGTTAGGTTCTGTGTTCGCATTTCTCCACAAAAACATTGGTGTACGCGGGTTACCACAGTACATGAGCATTACGTTCGAACGACAACAATAGAAATATTTTTGGAAGCGACCGCCGGGAAACAATATGAAATGCGATCATTCTCGATGAACCCATTCGACACGCAATATCCGGATATGGTAATCCTTCTGCCACGATCACGAAGCGTGAAGCGGGATTGGAACACTGATCGAGACCCAAGTTAGCACCTCCACCCACAATTATTGATAATTGTGGATAATTTAAAATTTTTGATTGCGCAATGCAAACAGAGTATGGCATATACTGTAAGCGCCTCGCGATGAATAATCGAATGGGCCAATGACGTGAGAGGGTTTTCCATGGGTATCTTCAATTAGAATTTCGCATCTATCTAAGGACACTGATGATGATTAATTAATCTCATCTATCCAGCTTCTGACCACGCCACCTATTCATTTTACATAATCGATTTTCCGTCATTTATATGTGTGTAACATTTGAGTGTTCACAAGCATACACCTGCAAACACAAAATACATGGCAATAGAAGTTTCAGGTTCAACACCGGCTTTGATGTTGACAAGCCACATACATAATACAACAAACACTTTTGTGCTAGAATAAAAAAAAAAAAAAATCAAAAAAAAAAAAAAAAAAAAAGACGTAACACTTACGTATTAATTAGTACACATTAAACCATAGGTACGTCATTTCTGAATAAAAGTAACACTAATTTATTAATAAAAAAAACAAATTTTTTTTAACGAAATAACGCCATCTCCAAAAATGAACCAGTAATCTGACAATCTGACATCAACATACGACAAATTTTGTGGGGTAAATGTTTGTTACTTGACCTTCTCAAGGGATTCATGAATATTTTCATTCCATTTTCGTCTCGTATAACCATCCTTCAGGAATGCCCCTCAATAAAACGGTTAAAATATTCACACAGCTTTAAAGTTCGAATAAAATAAGCAAATATAATATACTGTATATACTGTATAATATTATACACACTGTGCATTTTTTTTTTCGTGAAATGAGAGATAACACGAGAGAAAAATATGTGAAAGTAAATATGATGTAAACAAACGGCACGATTGGTAAGCATAGAAGGTACATACGCACAATATGTGAGACTTTGTGGGGTAAATGTTTGTTGATGCTTATTATTATTATTTTTTTTCCATCTTTCTTCTCAACGATCAGTGTGGGGTAAAGTTTGTTGATTACTCATTTTCCTCAAATTATCTGACCATTTTCAATCGTTAATGGCTTTAAATTGTGTACATCATTCATGCTCGTCGCCTCATCCCGTGGTTATTCGCCTTTGAGCCTCTTTGCCTTTGCGGGGTGTCAATGTTCTCGTATGGCCGTGATTGAGGTTAAATACAGTAATCCTTGGTCAATTCGTTGCGAAGAACCATCACGCCGAATATAGCACAGACGTACAGTAAATCAGTTGCTTTCTAAAAAATCACATTGCTCAAGTTGTAAAGTAGAAATGATGCAACCAATAGGAAATATGAGAGTTTTGTTTTCTCCTTTCATTTCCCTAGAATCATCTTGTGACCAACGTGCCAAAGAAATAAATTAAAAAATGCGGGGTAAATGTTTGTCGCCTTGCTAAGCCTTCCGTTGCTGGGGACTACAATACAATTCCTTATTCCATTAATCGCACACAATTAAAATGTTCATTTTGACATACATTACGAATTTTTATGTCATACGCATTTCTCCGTGACGTAAATGGTCAAAACTTTCTGTGGAGAAATGTTTTCTTTAATTAATAAAGTTTTGAAGTCAACGCCAGATTTCACAAACAAACGAGAACGTGAAATTTTTGTGGGGTAAAATGTTTGTAACCATATTCACTTGCTTAACAAATGTACAGTAAAGTTCTCGATAACTGCCGAAAGGTATCTGTCCGGTGAGGTAATGTAATATGTGTGCGTGTGTGTGTGTGTATGATGTGTCTACGCCAATACCAGAGCTCAACGAATAAATCGTGTGTGTATCGACTTGCGTAAATATTCGAGTCACGACAGACGGAACATTGTTCAATATGCAATTGTACTGAGACGAGCGTATTTCTCACGAGGAGTTCAATGGAAGACACGAGAGAATTTTGTGGGGTAATGTTTGTTAACTTTAACGCTTTCACATTTGACAGGGAAATCCCTTTGTGATATGATGTCAAGGACGAACATAAAAGATTTAAGGGAAAGAGAAAAGGAGATCGACCATAGGGATCGTTTGTTTGGTGGTAAAGGCGGTGGAGAAAATTTCATTAGGTGTCACGTGCATTCAATGTCACGGAAAGTAACGTGGGATCATGCAGGTGGCGCTGGCCGTCTTTCGGCGGTTTACGTTTTAGTTGCAGAATAAAAATACCATCGGAACTTTCCCGCTTTTCGAAAAGTATCTGTGGCTCACGAAAGAAAATCCATGTACCGTTGTCTCGAGTGAGTCCTCTGCAGTGGGCAGATGCGTATTCATGTATCTACTGTGGAACATGGAAATTAATAGCCATGCATTACATGAGAGGATTCTTTTCTTCCTTGCAAAGTGTAAAAACTGTTCCGGTCATTCTTTTAACTAATAATAATAAACCCCGTGGAAATACGATGCAAATAATATTCAATTGTTGTCGCGTGAGCGATATGCGGTATCAGGTCCAAGGGGCCAAATTTCTTCGGATGGAAACCGCAAACCACCCATATGTGCACAGAAACAATTATCGGATCATATTAACCCATCCAATCTCCATTCACTCCTGTTCATTCATTCCCAATAATCTAAAGATTTTTTTTTTTTCTGTTTTTTTTTTTTTTTTTTTTTCACGAATAATAACAATAATGCACTCGCACAAAGAATCGTGAGCGTTAGGCGTGCATAATATCGAACTCACTAGTTATCATCGCTCACTCATTAATAGCAACCTACCTCTCACAACACGGGGTTCCAATAATCGAACTATTTGCATTCCACGTTCTTCTGTAGGTAATATGAAGATTATCAGCTATTGAAATTTTTACGAACGATTAACATGTCATTATTGCATAAACATGCATTAGCATTTCTGATCGAATATAGGTATCAATCGCATTCTCGGAGAAATTACATCACACAATTCGGCAAGTGATTTGTGGTGTCGTCGATTGTGACACGATCTAATGAGGATGCCCATATTTAGTAGAAGGTGAGTGAGGAAAAGGAAGCGCATTCTAAGAATTTTACGAGAAGTTGGTTGATCGCCGTCATTCATTAATCAACTACGTAGGGCAAAATTTTTCAGAAGGAATCATCATACGTTTCAAAATTAAATTTGTGAACTCGACAGTGTACGGTGACAGGATGTGTAATCCGTCGATCAGATTTATTCGACACCAACCAAAACTGGAAAAAAATTTTCTTGCATTACAGGCTGAGGTCAAAATGGATTTCTTTAAGGATTTCATTCTATTAATATCATTATTGTCCATCACAAAAAGTGTCATTCGATGACAGATCTGGGCCATCGTGACCTACTCCTGAGAATCCTTGGCTTAAGCTAGGCGCTCTTTGTGTAGATTAAAAGAGTATACACGTCTGCATCGTCTATATGATCTCACTTTATGGCCTAGCGCGTGCATGCTGTCAAAAATTTGCCAATTATGTCACACGCGTAATTTTAGTGCAGACCTTCGCGTTTTACCTAATCGGCTGCATTCTGAATTTAGCCCGGGAAAGTTGTTCTGAACCCTAAAGGAAATCTTGAACTAATATGTCATTGAGAAAGAAAATTATTTATGTTGAAATTTGATCGTTCTTCCAAACTTTTAATCATCCTTGCTAAATATGTTGCATTTCAACGTGCAATATTAAACTATGCATGCATCACCCAATTCGCCTGAGAAACTCTAATGCCACCTTATTTAAAAAAGATTCTCATCGTTCGACATCTCCTCTTAACCAAAATTATGCGAGACGACCGGAAACCAATGATGTATGTATGTCCCTGTCATCAATGATATTACTAATGTTACGCATTCTGGTGTCACAACGTTTATTAACGTTATTGAAAACACATGCATACACACAGGATGCACCGTATGTCATCGTGTTATGAAATTAATTGCTTTAAAAAAAAAAGGAACAATAATTAAATGATGTATTTCATTATCACCGGTAATTATACCAAATATTTCCAAATTGATTTGAGAAAATTCTTTTTTTTTTTTTTGTCATAAATCGAAGTTTAACGTTCGTATATACTGTACGTACGGTAGAGTGTATTAGCTTACTTGAAGATGATACCGTCGTATCATTTTTTAATCGACATCGCATGTACGCATGTAATCTTGGCATATACTGTACAGTATGAATGAGGAATTAAATAAAAATAAAAAAAATAATAATAAATAATAAATAATATAAAATAATAATAATAATAGTAATAATAATAATAATAATAATAATAATAATAATAATAATAATAAATGATGATATCATTATTTTACATTTGTATGTGCTTATTCATTCATTTATTTATTTATTTATTTATTTTAATATTCATAAAAATCATATTTCAAATAATAATAATATTATTATTATTTTTTTTTAATTTTTAAAATTACAAAGTATTCATTAATCAATTATTCTTACCAAAATAATTATTCGTGTGCGAATGAATGAAATGATCAGTCAAATATTTTGAAAAATTGTGTGGCATAATATTTATCAACTACTTGATTCCTTTGATTTTTATAAATGTTACTTATTCTTTATGATCTTGTTTTATTGGTGAATCGATTAGAATAGTGTGTGAATTTTGTACTGAGGATATAATTGATTTAGTAAAAAAACATTTCATATTGAAATATAACATCATTTAAATTTACTATTATATATTTTTGATAATTCAAAATTATAAAATCAATCAATTAATTAATTAATTGATTGATTGATTTTTATTTTTCGTGAAATTATTTTTTGTTAAATTATATACATTATTTTAAAATATTTATATTTATATTTATTTATTTGTTTTTTTGTATAAACATGTATATTCTGTACATGTATATGTATATGTATTGATTTGTTCATAAAAAAACTTGATTAATATTTTATAATAATGATGATGATATGATGCGATTTTAAATATGAGCGAAGAAAAAAAAAAAAAGAAATCAAATAAATTTGGATTTGGATTTGGATTTTGTAATAACATGCAGACCTGTAATTGATTGAAATAGATAATATACATACGGTGTATAATGATTATAAAAAAATTGTTAGCATGTAAAATATTTAAAGGATTTTTTTTGATTTTATTATACATCATTTTGGCCATAAAAAACTTGATAATTTGCATATATCGAAATTGCCGAAATTTATAATGCATGCTAATGCAAATGACATATTTGACAAGATCGTTTTAACGGTATTTCCGGTATGCCGGTCGAATTCAAATATATCCAACAAGGTAATAATTTCGAGACACTATGTTTCTGGTAGGCCGATCGAATTCAGGTCCATATTGATGCAGGACACAGCAATCAATCGTTACTGATCCTCTAAAGGTGTGTGTGTCCTTTCAGAACATGTTTCAGATGTTGGTGATTTTAAAAAAATATTTGTGATGTAAAAAAAATTTTTTTTTAAACAAATTTATCATCAAGTAAATTTTATTTATACTTGTACGATCAAACAAACTAATAAAGATCGAATTTATCCAACATTTAACTATAAATCGTTTCTTCAAATTTAAATGATGTGATTGTCAATAACGTTGAACTTTAATTATATGGTATAGTTCAATCTTATTGTGCATTTCGAGAACTGCTTAGGTCCAATCAATTAAAGTTTCGGTCAACTAAATGGTGGCGGTTAAGAATCAACCAAAAATGTACTATTATTCCCGTCAGACAACTGCTATTGTTCAGACTTCTATTATCAAAGACAATCGTTAGCAGATCACCGCTATTCCTTGATGTACATAATTATATCCAAGTCATCAAGGAAAACCAATCATGATTATGTGAAGTGAATTAATTAACGGGAGACATGACGTTAACTATGTAATGGTTGTCACATTTTTGGTGCAAATGCGATATGTAATATGAAGAAGGACTTTCTGACGTAAGTTGACTTTTGAATTCAAAGGGACCCCCGAATAATCCAACCCCGTCAACAATTAAAAGTTAGATTGTTCCCAGGTAGATGCAATTCCCCTTAATTAAGTTCTAATTCGGTGCAAGTCTTTTTACTTGACATGATTTATAATATTCCATTTTACACAGATGTGCAAAATGATTTGTGCCATATAAGATCTCGCCTCGGTTGAAAATGCACCAACCAGTATACTTCACCATACTTACAATGATGCAAAAAGAGTGACATTATAATAATCTCGTTTTTTTCGGGTGCACCTATATTTGTAAGTGATAATTCTACGGTTTCATTCATGAGTGTCATTGTTTAAATGCATTGATTGGAGAGGATCAAAGAATTCAATCTTATTTCGTGCATATACAGTATAAATAATGACAAACGATTGCACCATTTTATTCGAGAACGATTACAAGGAAAGGACAATAAGGAAGATGTAAAGCGTAACGTGTGCATTTCCATCATTATGACCTCGAAAATGAGACAATGAGAATAATGACCATTTTGCCATGCGATGCGTTGTGTATTCATTGTACGTGCATACTGTACGTACCTGCATTTAATCATTTAATTAGTAGCACATTAATGCATAAAACGTACAAGTGCTAACAAGGCAATAAAAAACTTCTAACATCACGACTTTTACCTAAACAAACGATCGGAATATACATTCGTAATATACGTACAATTCACAAAGATGGTGAAAAAACATAATCATTAATTGTCATGCCCAATTATATTTATAAAATTAAGATCCGGAGGGTTAAAATGTGTGTACCGTACATATATAAGTCGATGAATAGAGCTCCCATTAGTACAATAAATGACAAGTTTATGATATTCCACTTTAATTGCCGTGATGTTTGTCCATGTTAAAGAAACTAAAAATAGAAAAATTATTTTCGCTCTCTAACATTCAAAAAAGACGAAACGACAAACAAAACTCCTGATCGTTGTTTCGAATGGATTAGCTAATAGGCACTCATCATGTACTGTTATTAGAATAGCTTTTGTATAATGTGCCAACCCAGATCACGGTAAAAGAAAGCATATCATTATAACATTCCATATGATACTGTCGAATACTTTTATAAATTACTCGATTTGGCACCTGAGGTAACGGCAAACTACATGTAATTTAAAAAATCGTTTAATTAAGTAAAGAAGAACCCTGTGTGCATATATTCTAATACGTATAATTAATATCTAGTCTGGATCTTTATAACAACCGCAATTATGTAGTGTATCAGCGCAGCCACGAGCTTTCGTATTTTATTTTTAGGCATTAAGAAAGGGTTTTGTCAGACTGCAAAAATATCATTCATTATTTTCCTTTTATGTCTTGAATAATAGCCCGTCCGTGTGTGTCTTGTATAGATCGCACCTGTCGTTATTTTAGTGTTTAAAAAAAAGCAATTTTATAAGTAAATATAATCA